ATTGTAACGAGAAAAAAAAATGGCGATTTGGGGTGGGCGGGGGGGGGGTAGGATCCGAAGGAAAAAATATAAAGGGATGTATGTTTATTTGCGAGACGCGTCATTCAGGGCTGTAACAAAACAGGAGGGATCGTAAGATAGGAGGAGAGGAGATGAAATCCAAAAATGCATTGTGATTATGAAATTTTGAGTTATTGGTTTTTATCATCTTCTTTTTTTTCTAATTTGGTAGCAAACGTGTTACGAAGCTTTTTTTGTCTTTTCTATGCAGGATGCAACTGTCCTGAAACATTCGTGAAAGAAGGATCTTCTTACGATAAGATGTCTATACACTTTTATTGCGTTGATAGTATGTATTTTACTTGGATAAGATCTCGAGCTTTTTTGCTTATCTTTTCTTATGACTATTTCGACACCCGTTATTTAAATTTAAAAAAAAATGAGAATCTCCTTATGAAACGATTTTTTTTTATCCTATTATGATTCTTCTGTCGGAGATTGTTTGGATAGATGGTGATTGTAATTTTTTTTTTTAATTTTTAATTTCAAATGATGGAATATACTTTTGGGTAGTAATTCGATTGATTTTGGATTCGTTGGATTAAAGGCGAATGTAAATAATGAAAAGGGGACGACGAAGAGAGAAGGAAATATAACAATAAATAGTCCATACGATAATAACTGCTTGCGCCGAATTTGGAGAACTTGTAAATTTAGAAAATTTCAAAAATTGACGTAAATAACATTCGACGTGCGTTCCGCTTGTCACGAGGTTCAAAAAGGGATAACGCTCGTGCGCTTTTTTCCAAAATGGACTGTTGTCGCTTTTATATTATAATAAGTAAAAAAAAAGAAGGTGCGAGTCAGGAATTGGATGATTAATTGAATGTTGATTCGCGACTACAGCCTGTTATACTCGTATAGCTGTTAATTATTAATTTTTAAAGACGTCGTAGTCTGCTTTGATTTACGTGCAATTATAAATCCTTATCATTGGCGATTTTCGGGCGCAATTTTTTTTCGTCGTTTTGTAATTCAAAGCGAAATTATTTTTTGCACGCGTTTTGCAAGTCGATTGTCTTAAGACGGCCTAAGAGTGAAACTGATAATGAGGCTTTATTAATTAAGACCAATAAAAATAATTAATTCGAGCGAGAGATTTTTTTCGAAATATTTCATGTCCTTGTAATTTCTTTTTTTTGAAAATGTTGCATTTTCAATTTTTGTACCTATTGTAATTTGCACTGTGAGACTTTTATCAGTGAGGATACACTGTTTGCAATTTTTATTTGAAAAATGGTGTAGGCCATTTTTTCCCTTACTTTTATTCCTTTTCAATTTTACAGGCTCGTTCAGTATTACATTGCCGTGGAAAGGAACTTGTTATTTTTCGTGATAACTCTCTCGTCATTCGAAAATATATACTTCGTCTTGCGGTGTCGATTTTTTGATCTTGAAGTAGGATGAGAGTATTGCGAAAATGAACAGGAGGCAAAGAATCGACGAGCGCGAATTTGCCTGTGTCTGCCCAGTACTAGCGTTTAAAATGTTATTTAATTCAACTACTGAATTAATTGTTTATTGTCACGAATGAATTGTCACTTAACCGAAATGTTCTTCGGCAATATATATTCATATTATTTAAATAAAGCATTATTATTATAATTACTATTATCTTTAAAGATCTTCGATATTACTTTATATATATATATATATTTACACTGTCCCCCCAATTTATTTTATATAAGCGAGTTTTCAAAAAAAAAAAAAAACTTCATTGGTCACTTACCTATATGCACTATTAATCACTTACTTTTGGCGTTTTTATAATTGTTCACTTTATTTACCAAAATTTCTTATTGTATTTTTTATTTCCACCCTTTCAGACCCACCTGTAAGCAAGCGAACCGAAGATATTAGTAAAACCAAATTTTGACAGCTGGGCACAGATACGGTTGGTACGAAGATGCGCATTTAAATCTCAAAAAAAAATTTGTTTAAACAATTAGCGTAATTCCTAGCGATAAGAACATAAGAGGCGTATGGTAAAAAATTAACGAAAAGAAAAAGTAACTGAATTACGTAAATGAAAATTGATACAGGGACAATCGATCAATTATAAACGTTAATTTATTATCTTTGTGATTATACAAAAAAGAATTGGACGAAAGAGGTCAGCCTCGATCGTTTTAGGTAATTTGAGAAAAAAAGAAAATTAATTACCGAATGTTAGTCATCACTTAAATTATTTATTATTAATCGTTAAAAGTTTCCATTACGTTTTCGATGTGTCATCCGGAAAACGTAAATTCGAGACATCAAAGTTTCCCGTAACACCCAGAGTATTGCAAAAAAAATATTTAAAGGTGAAAGCAAAACGTACAAAATAAAATTATTTCAAGATCTTCCCTTAGTAATTATAGAAATACAATAAAATGGACAAAATTCATTTTTACTGGATTCGAAAAATTAAAAAGAAACACCCGGTACACAATTTTTGTCTTACACCTCGTACTAGACTATTCATTTTTGTATCACATAACAAATGGGAAAACATATATGTATGTACGTTTAATGCGTTGTGGTTGATTCAACGTGTTTAAACAAAAGTGAACTGAATTACTTGAACCAGTTTTCAAGTAATTCATCAAGTTCTGATTATTATTTATTCTGTAAATATTAGCTTATATATTATTTGCATATAATCGCGATGCACCATAGGCGTTTATCAGATTTAAAATGATACCTCACACCGTATGGATAAGAGCTGTATAATTTACAACAAATAAATTACTCCATCTTATTTATTAACATAATGAATTTCATTAACAGAAACTCTTTATTCTCTGGAAGCTCTTTCTTTCTCAATAAAAACCCTACAATCCAATCCAATTTTTTTATTGCGCAGTTAGCATTTCCATGGGATACGAAAATTTGGCATAAATATGATAAAACAGGTAAGTGATTATATCTACATATATTTTTCATCGTTTTCATATTTTGAGAACGTATCTTTTTCTTCGAAAATGTCACATAATGTCACAGCTGTTATACCTGATTCTAAAATTTTATTAATGTTACGTGATCTTACGATTTACATAATGATTCATGTTATTTAATTACATAGTCGCAACTGTTTATACAATACAGTTCGATGATTATATCTCTTCCAAATTATATGTTACCTAAATAGACGTTTGCTTGCATGAGACAGTCTTTATAAAATGGTTGTGCCTTGTGGCTGAAAGATAAGACGTTTCGTTAGATCATGAAGAATTTAATTTCAATGTCAGTAGGACTCCTGATGATTATTGTTGTGGTTAATTTTGCCACGGCAGGAAATTTGACTGTAAAGCATCTTTTATATTGTTTAATACTTATTGGCAAAGTAATTGTACAAATGTTCAATAATGACGCTGTATGAAAATTTGTTGTGAATAAATGACTATTATTTATTTTATACAAAAAGTCTCACCTTTATACCAGTTACGAAGTAACTTCCTCTGCTGTTTTTTCTTACATTATTCGCAGATTAACCTGCAAGGAGGGTGCAAAAGGAACCACCATGTTGATGCGGTCCTGAAGAAGCATTTTTATTGGTCCCTAAAGTTACCTGACTCTTAGGCATCGTAAAATTGCTTAGTGCGTGTCAGTTTCAGATGATCTGTATGTACACTAAAACGTTAGTAATAAAGCTATTACTTAATTTGAACGTAAAGTATAGTCGTTGCTACTGAATAATTTTGATAGCATAATCTAGCATGCATTTTTAGTAGAACGTAAAGTACGATTTTAGACCCTATTATTACTTCACATTTACCTGTTGCTTCTACCAGACACTTTTTGAATATATTTATAATAATGAATTTCACGTGATACAAAATAATTGCAGTTGATACCTTTTGTAAAATTTTCTGTTTAGCTACGCAGAAATCGTAATTATACGAAAATTCTGTTAATTCAATTACCTGTCGCTTATTGTTCCTTCTACTTAATTGTAGGTTAAGTATGTTTGACACGTAATTCGAAAGAGGACAACGTCATTAAAAGACAAGACAAAGTTATGTTTTAATTGTTAGAAAACAATTTGTAAAATTTATACATATACTAAAATAACAGCTACATATTCAGATAACATGTGAATCCTGAAGTAATTTTGAACCCTTAAGTGTTCAAGCATTTTCTAGTAGTTAACAGCGTACACCAAAGAGTTTAGATTACCGAAACATAACGTATGCACGTCATGACGTCTTAAATAAGACTTTTAGACAATAATAGCATTTTTAATTTATCGAAATTTCTTGTACTCGCTGTGAGGTGTAGCTCTGCTTACTATTTAGTGTAAGCCCTATACCGACCAATACATAGGGCGTTGCTTTACCGGTAAGTGTAACTGCAGTTCAGTACAATTTAATACGCACTAAAAATTTGAATTAAACATAAGAAACTTTACATAACCCTAACGGTCCCGTCAGTCAAACACTGACAATGTTCCATTTTACACCTGGCGCAATAACTGATAATCGATCGAACGCTGTAATTGTTACCTATGTATATATTGTATAATTAGCAATCGAATTAATCAAAAATAAATTGAGCTGATACGTAATTAGATATCTCGATCATAACCATCTATTAACCTCAAAACGTGATACTAAGATTTGTGCAGTCAATTTTATATATGTATGTACATACATTTTAACGAAAAGCATGGTAATCAATATAACCCTGCTTAAAAAATACGATAGAAAACGATTTTTAAAAAATCCTATCTAATCCAATCGTGTTTTTGGTTCGTAAAATTTAGATTCGTTATCTAATATTTCCTAAACAATTTCTATCGTTTTATATAAAAAGAAGCAGATCAATTGTTTATCGTTTCTAATAGGTTTATCATTGCATATTATATAGGATGACTTTATGCACGACACGACAAATTGATCGCTAGTTAACTGTATTAAGAATGCATTGTACATAAATTCTCAACCAAAAGATTGATTTCGCCGAGTATCTTGCGATAAGGGAAAAATTTTCAAAAATCAGGGTCTTGGAGATATTAAGAATACTTTTTTTTATCGGAAAAATTAGAGACTTCATTTCATATGAAAGTTTTCTATCGAATATGTAAAATAATTTTTTTTAATTCATTTATTAGTAACTTTTTGGCATTATTATTAAAAAGGAACATTCTTCCTAACTTCCAAGACGTCAATTTATTTCAGTTTTATTCTCGTGTCAAAGCACTCACATTGGAATCAAATCAGATTCTTGGTGGGAAATGTATGTGCAATACATTGTTAAATTCATGATAATTATTGGGAAAACCATTTGTTATTAAGCCATATAAGAAGGTTATCGTTTACTTCATATTCTTCCCTAATAAGTTGGTGACGATAGAAAACGATTCGATTCCTATCACGCATTTTCATATTAATACATATAAAAATATGATTCATATAGAATCATATAGCATCATATACGTAATAGAACGTGAATTTCATATTACCATAGATAGACGTACTGCTTATATGAAAATACATATAGGTATAGATTAAATTCTATCGTATTATTACGATAAAGCAACAACCTCACAGGTTCAGATTACATTAGATAGAAACTCTATCATCACTTCAACTTGATGTAGATAGGACTGATAGAAAACGATTGAAATCGGCAATTAGTTTTATCGTTTCTTATCGAATTCTATCGTATTTTTTAAGCAGGGAAAGTATGATATATACAAGGTGACTTATCCTAGACTACGAATCTAGGAGGGACCCGTACCTACAGGCAAGGTGTTCGCAACTGTCGTGCGGATCAGCACCTTGATCTCCTTATAATACGATATCAAGAACAACTTGCCTGTAGATGCGACCAATCTAATTAGAGAATAGCGCATCAATACATACGGAGGCTCATTTCAGATTCGGAGTCCAGGATAACTCATTCTATAAATAGTATATATACAGTGATTCTATTAAAACCTAACAGTAATACAATAAATCAACAAAAAGGGATCAGCAGAGAATGTTTGTAAAAAATAAACACCATGCATTCTATTACTTTATCGAATTTACTTGTGCATATTGTTATGTATATAACATGTATACATAGAAGTATGTAAATGTTACAATTTCATTATAGATATATCAATCCTAAGAATGTGAACTGCACGTGGAAAATCCTCGGCGTTACAAGCACACCGAAGCAAAATCAATGTCCTGTATGGGAATAAATGAAAAAGTTCAAATAATAAGGTACGTCGAATTTTATAAAATTTTAAAATTTTTCAAAGAAACAAATTTTACTCACAGTCGTTGTGGCTGCAAGGGCCGAAATTACGGCCGCCATAACGAAAAGGCACACGGAAGTGAATTTATCCGCCATTTTATTAATTGCGACAACCTGATGGTTTTCTGTAAAATGCCAGCGGGATCTCCTGTATATATACCTTCCCGCCGTAGAGAACTATGTAATTATTAGATAAAAATTGTATTTTCTCAAGTGTCTCGCATATTAACACGTTTCGTGTCGGACTTTTTTTTTGTTACTTTTTCAACATAGCACGGAACGTGTTAATATTTCATTACCAGTTGAGTAAACAGTCGAAAATAGACTCAGTAATAAATACGTGCTAATCTTCGTCATTATTATTATCACTGAAAAAGGCTACTATGATAAATTAATAAAATATGTATGATATAATACAATATGATATATTTTGACATTACTTTTATTATAATGAACAATTTAAGCCTTATTTTTATATTGAATAAAATTTCACTCTCTTTCAGCTCCCTGAAAAATTTATTAACATTTACTGCATAGTAAAAAGTTGACACTTTTATATTCGTCATATTTCAAAAACTGTATGGTAAATTATCTTGAAATTTTCCATGGACAAGGATTTATTTATTATCTAATACACGATAAAAGTTTTAAAAAATTTCCCTAATTAGATTGGCTGTTATTACCAAACTATCTGAGTGAAAAACATAAGAGAAAAATTAAAATAAAAATGTATTCGTCTTTGACGCTGGCACTTTTTATACTTGTGTAAATATTAGATAAATAAATCCATTTTTTTAATCAAAATTTTCAGTGTGCCTTTAATACGTCATAGATCCTTCTTCTCAAATTAATTACACACTTGTGCACCCGGTTTAAAATACTATAAATTACCCCAAGGATTATATTGAAATTCACAAACTCACAGCCATGCTTAACGGTAGTATCAGATTTGTGTTCGCCGTTAGTAGCTTGGCCTGCTTGGCTGTAATTGCAGATGGAGCAAACTCGACTGTAAGTTTGTAAAATAATATTATATCAGAAAATAAATTATTTAATAGCTGTAAATAATAATATCGTGCGATAGGTCGTTGACCTGTCTGTCTATGGAAATTTGAATTTTTATAAAATTAACACGCGTTGCTCTGACCAATCGTTACCGTAAACAAGAGTTTAAATACCTGGAAACATTTCAATACTTAAATTATTCCATGGATTAAATGAATATGATAAAATAAAATTATTTTTTTTTAATTACAGATTGTCAAGGTCGACCTACCCAAAGGTACCTTGCAAGGGTTAAAAACGCGGACTGTGTTAAATGGCGTCACTATGTACAGCTTCAAGGGCGTAAGATACGCAGCCCCCGCAACTGGTGTACATAGATTCTCTGTACGGACACGATAATTTACTTATTTTACATAATTCATTAGTTTCATTCATTTATCATGTACATTTATTAAATTCATTGAACTGCACAGGTTGCTCGAGAGGTCGCGCCCTGGATTGGTGATTACGATGCAACCCAACACAAATCAAGATGCCCTCAGAGATGCGCTTCAGCTTTTAAATACATCATTGGAAATGATGATTGTTTATTCTTGAACGTCTACACATCCACTCTTGATTGTAAAGCTGGTCTACCAGTGATGTTTTGGTTGCATGGTGGATCCTTCAATTTTGGTAACGGCGACAGTGACGTGTATGGACCCGATTATCTTATCGAAAATGGCGTCGTATTGGTCTCGATAAATTACAGACTGGGTCCAATAGGTAATAAAAGTTTCTTGATAAAATATCACCAAAACGTTTTCAAAGAATTTTTTTCCTTTGATTGAGTAATATCGTTTACAGGATTCCTCAGCACAAGAGATGCTGCTGCTCCAGGCAACGTGGGTCTTAAGGATCAAATTGCTGCTTTGAGGTGGGTCAAGCGCAATATTCGTTACTTTGGTGGAGATCCAAACCGGGTAACCATCTTTGGTGATGCTGCTGGTGCTGGTTCTGTACAGTATCATATGATCTCACCACTCTCTGCTGGTACTTTATTTTAATTCTTCATATTACTCACACTCTTTTTTTCATATTTTACCACAATTCTCATATTTTTTTAAGGTCTCTTCGCCCATGCCATTGCTCAGAGCGGTACCGTCATGACTACCTGGGCCATTACCTACAACTCTACCAAAGATTCCTTTGCTCTAGGAGCAGCATTCGGAATCAATACCAATAATTCAACCGAACTTGTCGAAGGATTATTGAAAATTAATAGTACCGCCCTTGTTCAAATGGCAAACAAATTGTCTAGAGAGACGGTAAAATTATAAATTATCTACATAAAAGCGGATTGTAAGTGAAACACAAAAGAAAATAATATTTAATATATTCACAGGAGGGTATGTCAGGAGGTCATTACCTTTTCAAACCCTCAGTAGAAGTTAACGTGGGTCAGGAAATATTCCTGCCGGCTGATCCTTGGCAACTTCTAAAGACTGGTCGAATTAATGACGTTCCATACATGATGGGTTTCAATCAGGACGAGATGATCATAGGCGCTAACAGTAAGGAACTTTGAGTAACACTGTTTTTTTTCCTTTTACGGTATGTAGTTTCACAACTGATGTAATGGCCTTCGTCCATTTCTCAGGTATCGCAAATGTGGATTACTATAATAGTCACTTTGAAGGATTTCTTCCAACTGATCTTAATCTTACAAGAGGCGCAGTACTTGACACTGACATTACACTAGTGAGAAATTTCTATTTCAATGGAAAGAATGTAACTAAGAATGACATCCAAGCTTATATTAAGGTACGTACAATTTTTATCGATCCAATTTCACTATTGTTTTTATGTTTCAGTTATAAAATTCTTATCGATTTAATTCACGTTTCATTCGTTTCCTCTTGTAGCTGCAAAGTGATCTGTACTTCACCTACGGAACAGCATTCTCTTTGAAGATGATGAGATATTACATGACCAAACCAATCCACCAGTATCTGTTCTCCTTCGATGGAAAACTAGGATTCTTCAAAAAATTCTTTAACGTATCTTTGACATCCGGTAACACAAAACGTTCTTCGTGACCACCTAAAAATATTTATTTCACTCGGGAGATACAATACTTAAATAATATTTCTTATTAAACTTATAGGTGTAGCCCATGCAGATGAGACTGGATATATGTTCTACCCAGCCCTTCTTAAAATTACGCCGGATAAAGGCTCAGAAGAAGAAAAGATGTTATACAAAATGACAAGAATGTGGACCGACTTTGCTAAATATGGGTGAGCACCGAATATTAATTCTCTATTGCTATAAATATTAAGAAAACTTTAATGTAACGACAAATTACTTTTTTATCTCGCATCAGTAATCCAACTCCGAAGTTATCCAAAAACGTTACGACAATATGGGGCGATGTAACAATGAACGGAAACTATTTGCACATCAACACAACCACAAAAATGGAGCAGAATGTATTTGCGGAAAGAGTCAAATTCTGGGCGAACATATACAAAGATCCTCTTGGCAAATTTTATCAATACTTCAAATAACCATCAAAAGATGTTACAAAAAAGTAAACTCATACTAAAAGGATTCATGTTCGAAGAAGGATAATAAAGATGATACAAAATAAAATGAAAACTATTTAACCAATTAAGGCAGTATCCTGTTTTAAAAGGGTCCAAAAATCGATTTTATTTTATTGCCTAAATCTATTCTTAATGTATCCAAGAATATGTATTCAAAGTTATAGAGACTAATTCACAATGTTTTCAAATATACAGCACTAAACGCAATGGGGTATGGGCAGCTGGAGCGCGCGCTCCTTTACTTTAAAGCGCGTTTTGTCGAGTTTTCATTTTTACGCTTTTTCTAAACTGGCGGGCGTGATTGCAAGAAAACTAGACGACCAATCAAAACGAACCAAGGCTTGTTAGCTACAGTTTTGGATTCTCCTCTATTTGAACTGAAAAGATTCATGAAAAAAGTTCTAAACAACTTTTTTAGCAAGTTAAAATAATTTTTTTTTTCACAAAAAACACATCTTTTTCTCAAACTTGAGAAAAATTTTAGATTTCACAACTTTTTGGGTTTTTCTTAGTTCATCTAGAAGAAAAATATATGGAAATTAAAATTTTCTTTGGTTTTTTTGTTTCAAACGAAAATTGCGAGCTTCATCTTTCCCGCCGATTTGAGACTGCAATTGCAAGGTGTTGCACAAATGACCATAAAAATCTGCTGTGTATGCTTATTTTTCGCTCAAAAAAATTTTTTTCAATGTTCAAATATGCAATAAAATAATCTTCTAAGTTCGCTACACTTGCTTATTTTTTGTCCTAAAAGAGTTCCCGGAAAAACGCTTTTTTTAGGCCTCCTAAAGCAGGATACTGCCTTAAGGCCCTTGTCTAGCACAGTAAAGATCAAGATGAATCTGCTATCGGAATTAGGATATTGGCCAAAAATGACCTATATCTGCTTTTCATTATTTTTCAAAAATTGGATTAAACAATAATCCTTTACAGAAGGCATTAGCAATATGTTTTAGAAAAATTAAAAACACCAATCGATACTACGAAAAAAAAATTTTGAAATCAGACGTTGTGTGATATTGTTCTTATTTGGTTGTAAAGGCATAGCAGTATGTGATGAGTATAAATCAAATAATGTATAAAAATACGAATTAACTTTGCAACACGTGCATGCGATTGATGTATAACGATGAAGAAGAAATATCTATGGGAAAATGTTTTTTTTTTACAATAAGGGTGCGTGCACGTAGTACTATGCAGTACAGACGTATATTACAATACGGAGTTTGGATCAGCGAGATTGAATATCAAAACATGTGATCGGTCACATAAACCTGTCAAGGTGCCGCAAATGATCTGGAAATTTTATTTGGTATATCAAACTGTTACTACAAATTTTGCAGATAATTAATCGTTCATTTGTAATACTGCTCACACTTGTTCATATAACAGATAATACTCTATAGTATAAATTAAAGAAAGCAATTTTGGTAGATTCACTGGAACATTGACATCATGAGAACTAGTTGTATGGGATTACTGAATGGAAAGTTTTTTGTTTCAGATATGGATATCGTTAGAGATTTAATGGAATTTTCGTTCGTTCCTGACAAGGAAGACTTGTTTAACGAGGAGACACGTACGACAAGTCCAAGAATGCACTGAAAACGTTGTAAGACATCTAGAAAATCTAGTTGTTATGTAATATTGTGTGCCTAGACCTCGCAGAATGCCTATTTATCAATTTACAACACTGCTTTGTTTTTTTTCCTTTTACGGTATGTAGTTTCACAACTGATGTAATGGCCTTCGTCCATTTCTCAGGTATCGCAAATGTGGATTACTATAATAGTCACTTTGAAGGATTTCTTCCAACTGATCTTAATCTTACAAGAGGCGCAGTACTTGACACTGACATTACACTAGTGAGAAATTTCTATTTCAATGGAAAGAATGTCACTAAGAATGACATCCAAGCTTATATTAAGGTACGTACAATTTTTATCGATCCAATTTCACTATTGTTTTTATGTTTCAGTTATAAAATTCTTATCGATTTAATTCACGTTTCATTCGTTTCCTCTTGTAGCTGCAAAGTGATCTGTACTTCACCTACGGAACAGCATTCTCTTTGAAGATGATGAGATATTACATGACCAAACCAATCCACCAGTATCTGTTCTCCTTCGATGGAAAACTAGGATTCTTCAAAAAATTCTTTAACGTATCTTTGACATCCGGTAACACAAAACGTTCTTCGTGACTACCTAAAAATATTTATTTCACTCGGGAGATACAATACTTAAATAATATTTCTTATTAAACTTATAGGTGTAGCCCATGCAGATGAGACTGGATATATGTTCTACCCAGCTCTTCTTAAAATTACGCCGGATATAGGCTCAGAAGAAGAAAAGATGTTATACAAAATAACAAGAATGTGGACCGACTTTGCTAAATATGGGTGAGCACCGAATATTAATTCTCTATTACTAAAAATATTAAGAAAACTTTAACGACAAATTACTTTTTTATCTCGCATCAGTGATCCTACTCCGAAGTTATCCGAAAACGTTACGACAATATGGGGCGATGTAACAATGAACGGATACTATTTGCACATCAACACAACCACAAAAATGGAGCAGAATGTATTTGCGGAAAGAGTCAAATTCTGGGCGAACATATACAAAGATCTACTTGGCCAATTTTATCAATACTTCAAATAACCATCAAAAGATGTCAAAAAAAAGTAAACGTATACTAAAAGCATTCATGTTCGAAGAAGGATAATAAAGATGATACAAAATAAAATGAAAACTATTTAACCAATTGAGGCCCTTGTCTAGCACAGTAAAGATCAAGATGAATCTGCTATCGCAATTAGGACATTCACAAAAAATTACGTATAGGTATCAGCTTTTCTTTATTTTTCAAAAATTTGATTAAACAAGAATTCTTTAAAGAAGGCATTAACAACATGTTTCAGAAAAATTAAAAACACCAATTGATACTACGGAAAAATCTAATAAAAGCCAACGTTATTTGGTATTCTTATTTATTTATTTATGGTTGTAAAGACATGGCAGTGTTAAGCCTTAGCCAATGAAGCTACTAGGGCGTACATATAATTTGAATGTGGTCTATCATTAAAACGCTAGGCGTATCTGTCTCCTGTGTTAGTATCAATAAAATAAGGTTGTTGAAGATTTGTAAATCAAGTCCCTTCGAGGAATGAATGATTTATTGATATTGAGCGGTTTGTCGCGGTCCGAGAGGATCTACACGTTTGGCAAAGCGAATGAGTAGCGACGAACACCGTCAGTTTGTTAGGTTAGGTTACAAAAGGTTATACATTTGTTCTTTCACTTAAGAAGGTTAGATCATATTCTTAGAGTCGAAGAGAGTTTCACTGTTCTGATTTTTTTAACTTGCACTTCGTCGTCTGCTGTGGCACTCGCGATAGACTGTAACGTACGCTCACCGCGGTGACTTCCCTGGCCCTCGAGTGGGAAGGTTTGGTCACTTGGATCGGAAATCACGTAGGACGCTATCAGAGGAAGCACAAGCGAGAGCCGATGATTGTCAAGGTTCGCAAAAGACTGCCCATCGGTTCCGAATACTGTAGGTGCATTAGTTCTGATTTTGGAGATAATGCACCGCAGTATTGATGATCTTGCAGGAAGAGTCTTGCTTCATACCTCGCGCTGGCATGTAGTGTGAGCGCGTAGCCTGCTACTCAGCGGTCTAGGATTTGTATGACGCAATCGTAAAAGTTCGATATTCGATTTCAAAATTCTGTAACAAATAAACTTTGGCGCTTATTTAGCTCGATGACCTGTCTCTGTTTGCGGGTATGCCGGTCCTTCTGGTGGCCGGTTGCTGTATTAAGATGAATATGGTCTGGACCATAAATATGCGACAATATTTACCCTTGACATCCATGGCTAACTATAATAACTGTCCATAGTAGATTTAAATTTTTTTTGGAAGTGAATTTGACTCTTTGAAATTAGTAAAGTAGTTTACTATGAAGTTAGTATTTGTTATTACAATTATATCCACCAATTGCAATAGTAAATTTAAGTATGGTAAGACAGTTTGCGCTAATGAATTCAGTGTGAAAAATACTACAAGTTTGGTGTCACTAACTAATATTATTTTTACCCTGCTACATAATTAAGAATACCATCGTCTTTTTTCTCAATGCGATTGATGTAAAGCGATAAAGAAGAAATATCTATAAGAAAATGATTTTTGTTCTTACAGCAAGAGTGCGTGCACGTGGTGGTATGCAAACACGCGTATATGACAACACGTTTTGATCAACGAGGTGACGTTGAATATCAAGACATACGATCAGTCTCACATAAAGCTATTAAACCGCCATAAGAGATCTGGAAATTTCATTTGGTATATCAAACTGTTAGTAAAAATTTTGCAGATACAAATAAACGAATACTTATTATTCCTTTATTTGTAATACTGCTCACACTTTTTCATGTAGCAGATACTTTGCTTTAGTATACACTGAAGTAAGCAATTTCTGAAGATTCACTAGACAATGTCGTCATGAAAAACATGTATGGGATTAGTGATGGTAAAGTTTTTTTTTCAGATATGGATATCTTTAAAGATTAAATGGAATTCTCGTTCGTGTCTGACAAGGAACACTTTTTTTTTTAACGAAAAGGCACGTGCGAATAATATGGAAAAGCACTGAAGGCGTTGTAAAACATCTAATAAATTTATATGGTACGTAACATTGTGTGTATAGACTTTGCAAAATCCATATCTGGCAGTTTGCAACACTGCTGACACTTGTTCATATAGTGGAAAGACGATTACAGTATAAATTGACGAAAAAAAATATCGGCGCGTTCACTGTAACATTGCCACCATGAAGAACAGAGGTATGGAATTAGTGGTGGCCATTTTTGGTTTGGCTCTCCTGGCACAAAATGCCAACGGGGCGGATTCGACTGTAAGATTCCACATTCATCAATTATTCCTACAATTTTCAAATAATGACCTCTGACTAATCTCTTCGTAAATTCCTAAGCAGACTGCGATACGTCTCTTCAAATTCGAAGGAATTTAACAAACGAAATAATTTTCATTGCAGACTGTCGAGGTCACCATACTAAAAGGTACCTTGCAAGGGTTGGAAACACAGACTGTATTAAATGGCGTGACTATGTACAGCTTTAAGGGTGTAAGATATGCAGCCCCAGCAACTGGTACACGAAGATTCTCTGTAAGAAACGATAAATTATAATTCCAGATGATTCATTAATTGCATTTATTATTCATCATATTTATTAATGGGCACAGGTTGCCGAAGAGGTCGAGGCCTGGGATGGTGTTTACGATGCAACTCAACACGGATCAAGATGCACTCAGATATGTGTTCCATCTCTTTCATCTATCATTGGCTCAGATGACTGTCTATTCCTCAACGTCTACACTCCAAACCTTGATGATTGGGCTTCTTTACCAGTGATGATTTGGTTCCACGGTGGAGACTTCAATTTTGGCTCCGGCAACAGTGACATCTATGGGCCTGATTATCTCGTCGAAAATGACGTCGTACTTGTCACAGTAAATTACCGACTGGGTCCAATGGGTAAACGAAGTTTTCTGACAAAGTATCATCAAGACGTTTCCTTATAATATTTTTCCTTCGATTAATTAATATCGTCCACAGGATTCCTCAGCACGAGAGATGCTGCTGCTCCAGGCAACGTCGGTCTTAAGGATCAAGTTGCTGCCATGAGGTGGGTCCAGGACAATATTGCGTTCTTCGGTGGAGATCCATCTCTGGTTACCATCTTTGGTAATTCTGCTGGTGCTGGAGCTGTACAGTATCATATGATCTCACCACTCTCTAGAGGTAAATTATTTAAATTCTCCTTATTACATGCACTTACCTATTTATTCCAGTGTAACAATGGACTACTGATTTTCGTTTTAGGTCTATTCAGCCGTGCCATTGCTGAAAGTGGTCCAATTTTATCTACTTGGGCAATTTCTTATAATTCTACTGCGTATTCGTTTGCCTTGGGGAAACTACTAGGTATCCATACCACCGATTCCACTGAACTTGTCAACGGATTATTGGAAGTCGATAGTGAGTCCATTGTTGCAACAGCCATCAGGCTAGCTAGTGACAAGGTAAGGTATTACATTATATATATATATATACACATACATACAGCGTATGAAGTGAAGTTAGCCCATCAATTCGAAGTTTATAGGAAAAGCAACTTCAGCCGATACATTTGAACTGACTAGCCCTGCAAACATATGACTCGAGTATAAAACGAATTGAAAACATATTAATATTTTTTGCAGGATAATATGGCAGGTCTCAACTTCATTTTCAGACCCACAGTGGAAGTTGACGTTGGTCAGGATATTTTCCTTCCGGCTGACCCTTGGGTACTTTTAAAGAATGGTCAAATCAACGATGTTCCGTTCATGATGGGTACCAACTTAAACGAGTCAATTACTGCAGTGAATGGTAAGAAAATCATAAAAGTACATTTTTTATATTGGCCTAATTGTAATCATATTTTTTAGATGTCAGCAAGGCAGCGTTCTTCAATAACAATTTTGATGCTTTTCTACCATTCGATCTTAATCTCACAGACAGTAGAACAATTAGTGATATTGTTACTAAAGTCAAAGACTTTTATTTCGGTGGCCATGGTGTCACCGATGATGACTCACTTTCTTATATCGAGGTATATAATTTTTTTCAAAATTATTTATGTGCGTTCTGATTCAGTTTAATGAAATTAAATAATTATTTAATTTATTTAACCAACTGAGACACGCGTGATCTCTTTTTTCTACAGCTGAGAGATGATCTAGATTACACGCATGGGACGGAAATGTCTTTAAGGATAATGGCATACTACATGGACAGTCCGATTTATCGTTACCTATTTGCATACGATGGAGGACTTGGATTTTTCAGAAAGATTTTCGGCATATCACTGACCTCTGGTAATATATTATAGATTTAATTTATAACAATATTTAAATCGTGCTGCATACGGTTGAAATAATGAATTCAATATTTATCATTGAAAATAAAGGAGTATCTCATGCGGATGAAGTTGCCTATCTCTTCTATCAAGCTGCTTTTGGCGTCACTCCGGCTGCTGGATCGACAGATGAAAAAATGGTTTACGCAATGACAAGAATGTGGACCGATTTCGCAAAATACGGGTAAATATAATATGGACGAAGTTTGTCAATATTAATTTTAACAAAAAAATTAATTAACGTTCAACTCCCCTTTTATCTTCTTCAGTGACCCAACTCCTGAGCTTTCCACGAATGTCACCACAGCTTGGGAAGACATGACAACGAAAGGAAATTTCTTGAACATCGATTCAACTTCAACCATGTCGTCGAAAGTTTTCAACGAAAGAGTCCAATTTTGGGTATCCATATACAAAAATATTCTTGGAGATTTTGCATGTCTCTTTGACTAATCATCGCCTCTGAAAACAATTTTCGAGTGTATTATGGAACAGCGTAAATTGATTGATAAATAAATAATTGAATAATGAAAAACACTGTGACGTGCAGGACGTTATCACATGTCTAACAAAGTTAATCTCCCACGCTACGCGTGGAAGTTTATATTTATTTTTGTTCTGGGTAAGCTCTTGACTGCCGTCCTATACAGGCCCGGTCCTTTGGATTGCCGTTAGATGGAGGAATTTGTGTATGATCTATTTAAATCAAAGATGCAGTAATCCCAATGAAATGATTCGGCGCGTGGAAGTTTATATTTATTTTTGTTCTGGGTAAGTTCTTGACTGCCGTCCTATACAGGCCCGGTCCTTTGGATTGCCGTTAGGTGGAGGAATTGGTGTATGGTCTATTTAAATCAAAGATGCAGTGATCCCAATGAAATGATTCGAATATATTGTTAAAACCTAATTTTACTTATATGTTAGTTATTAAATAGAAATAAAGAAAAGTGCCAGATGGTCTTACAGCTAGGTTACAATGATCTCGTAATGCCGTGCCCACACTCACCCCTGCATACTCACTCTCGTAGGTTCATTCGGCGCGCAACACTGGATGCCAACGCTGCCTTTGTGTTCGCAATTCTTCTTCACACGACTCGAGATCCTTCACTTTGGTGATCACTTAAACTACACGACAATATTGTTCGTGGCAAAATCAGAATACTAACATCTAAGCTCACATTGCCTAATACGCTACGCGTGCAACTCGTAGGGCTCGATACGTCTTAATCGACTTACATACGGCGATAGATAATAGTACGCGGAACTCCCGTGAGAATGATAGCCGCCGCGCGATGCAATTTGTGACGGGCTATTCCAGCCCGAACTATGCGCTCTGGTGTGTATCTGGAGACTAATTTGCCTTCCCTGCTCCATCCTACTTTCTGCTGAAAGTAGGTGGACAGGTAGGGAAATCCTGGAATTTTCAGTTCACACGTTTAGGCACGTTCGCGGTGCGATAAGACCGGAAGCTAGCTTCCTCACATATCGCTGGAGTCGGCGTCTCCGAAATCGCGTGGCTTCTCTGTTGCGTCATCGTTCGTATATATGTGTGCTAGATTCAAATTCAAAAAGACACGGCACGTGACAACACCACTCTCTTCTGGTATTTGCCTTTAGGCAGATGGACACCTGCAAGTTTTATTTTAGTAGTGTAATACTTTCGAGTCTTGACCATTAGGTGATATCACTGGTAGCCATATTAAAGAGGAGATAGAAGTTCATATGTTGGTACTGGCCCGATTGATGAATTACATTAATAAGTTTATAAATTAACACTTAGAAAGAAGGAATCACGGTTTGAACGATTAAAAGTGCTGGTAATTGTAAAATTTGTCGGAGCGCAGAACCCGCGGAGTGGGGGGGAGGCAGTTACAGGAGTGCTTAGGCTTAGAGCGCTCATTCCCCCACGAGCCAGTCGCCTATACCAGTTTTTTGGACGATCCCGTCTTACCCATTTCTATCTTTTTTTTTTCTATATTTATTTCTTATTTAGTCCTATAATCATATTCCTTACTTTGCTAATTTTCTTTTTTTTTATTTCATATCTTATTCCTTACTCTTCTTGTTTCTTTTTTTCTGTCTTCTTCTTTCTGTTCGGTTCTCGTTCATTTTCCATTGCGCTTGTCTTACTTTCCCTATTTCTTTGGTTGGGCTGAGAATATTTGTTCGAGTAGTAATAAGAGGGTAATTAATTCTGTTAGAGAAACACACGTGGACTATGGCGACGGGGGTTGCCCCTTTCGCCTCATCTGCTGAGCTTGCTCAGTAGGTCGGGCCCAGGTTCTGGTAGCAATATGGTATCTCGGGGCCTTGAGCACCCTTAGGGTACGCTACGACCATAGTCTTGTGTGCAGTCAATCTATCCAAAACATCGGTATGCGAACTAGAAATTAAGACAAAAGTTTTAAGAACACTTCGAATTTGACGATTGTAGAGAATAGACGTATCCTGTAACAATATACGGAAGATGGTTTTATATCATAATCCTGCAGTGGTTTTTCGCTTTCCTTTCAAGTATTAAGTTTTCCTTTCTTCTTTCTAATCCTTTTCCTTTCCTTATCGACAGTCTCCACCTAATAAATAATCACTCATGAGGGCACGCTCGCGCATTCCAAAGGCGAATCCGAACTCCCGTTCCTTCCCGCGAATCAACTACTCCTGGCGCCATCTATCACCAACAGTCTCAAATTATGGGCAAATCCTTAAGATACGAAGAAAATAGAATTCACACACTCTAATAGACGCAGGTTATATTTTATTATTCTGATGTATTTAATATTTACAACTTGAAAAATTTATACGTAATAAATTTTCTGCATATTTATATTGATGCACGAGAATGACGTGGATTACATACAAGTATTCATCGATTCTGTAAAAACATGTTAGCTTTGAAGATATCACTATTGCTTAGGACAATCAGATTCCATATTAGCAATTACGTACCTGCTATATACGTAACAGACCAAAAGCAATTAATTAAAATATATTTCCAGCTAAAATACCACTGTGACATAATTCATGTTCCTAAACATACTTCTAACCTGATCAAATATTTCGTTAACACGTAAATGACGGCACTTAAAATCTTCAAGTTAGTAAAAGTGTCACTGGAAATAGCTACAGCTGTATATTTGGTTAATTAGGCCAAACATATTCTATATGAAGATGGTTCTATCGTAAGAATCGAATGGGCGCACCAACTTCAGGTTGGTGCATTTGAACTGAAATACTCGATGTATAATTTCGAATTGCTTTATAGATATATGGTTTCGGTATATTGTGTACTCGCCCACACGACATAAGGGTTTCATAGATGTCAGTAAGATGATTGGTGAATGTTATTGGTCCCATAAACGTCTCTGAAACCTTTATACTACCTGGGTACATAAAAATTTGTTGAAGTTCACTACTTATTTCATAAATTTAGATTTACTAAATGCATTTGTTTTATTGAGTCGCATATTTAAAATGACAATTAATATTTTGTTTCAAACAAATATTAAACAATCAAAACACGTGCAGGTGAATAGGTGTATGAGTCGGAATTGCGATTTTATAAAACAAGATATTATACAACTATGGGCAAATACTGTAGGCATTTTTTTTTAGTTATAAATGTATATGATAACTTACTTAAATAATGAGGTGATCGGCTCACGTAAATTTTAATCGTACCATCAGCTGTAAATTATTTGGAATAATCATTTGGTAAATAGCACTATTTGCATAAATTTTGTAGATAGATAATATTATATTGCAAAACTGCTCACACCTGTTCATATGATATAAGAAACTCGAATATGGTAGAAAATGAAAAAAATTATTTTCGCCAGATTCATACGAGAATTATTACCACGAAAATCAACTGCATGGGATCAGAGGTCCAAAAATTATGAATGGACCAAAAATTATTGAATATTACCTCAATATAATATATATTGAAATATGCTTTCAATTCTTGTACGACGTTAAAAATGTTATAAACATCTTTGGCGACTTTATGCTAGCTGGATACGTAGAAATACGTGATTACACGTTGTAAGTTCTTATCAGCCATGTAAACAAATATAAATTAAATCATTTCTAATAAATTCGTGATGGCTTTATTAAATACAAATTCACACCTCCTCCTGTTGGAATCATATACTTAAAATAACATATTTGAAATAAGTTTGAATAAACGTTAAGTCGAACGAGGCAATACGAAGTTATTAGCAAGTACAAAATTGAAAGTTTTCATTACAGATTTAACAGAATTTTCGTCCCTACCTGACAAGGAATACTTTTGTTTAAAGAGGAGACACGTACGACCAGTCTGATAAAGCACTGAAGGCGTTGTGTAAACATCTAGAAAATTTATTTTTCACGTAATATTAATTGTATAGACCTCGTAGAATATTTTTTATCTAGTCACAATACTGCTCACACTTGTTCATATAGTAGAAAGCCGATTATAGTATAAATTGAAGACAAAAAATATCGGCGCGTTCACTGTAACATTGCCACCATGAAGAACAGAGGTATCAAATTAGTGGTGGCCATTTTTGGTTTGGCTCTCCTGGCACAAAATGCCAACGGGGCGGATTCGACTGTAAGATTCCACATTCATCAATTATTCCTAGAATTTTCAAATAATGACCTCTGACTAATCTCTTCGTAAATTCCTAAGCAGACTGCGATACGTCTCTTCAAATTCGCAGGAATTTAACAAACGAAATAATTTTCATTGCAGACTGTCGAGGTCACCATACCAAAAGGTACCTTGCAAGGGTTGGAAACACAGACTGCATTAAATGGCGTGACAATGTACAGCTTTAAGGGTGTAAGATATGCAGCTCCAGCAACTGGTACACGAAAATTCTCTGTAAGAAACGATAAATTATAATTCCAGATGATTCATTAATTGTATTTATTATTCATTATATTTATTAATGGGCACAGGTTGCCGAAGAGGTCGAGGCCTGGGATGGTGTTTACGATGCAACTCAACACGGATCAAGATGCGCACAAATTTGTGTAGCATCTTATTCATATTACATTGGCTCAGATGACTGTCTATTCCTCAACGTCTACACTCCAAACCTTGATGATCAGGCTTCTTTACCAGTGATGATTTGGTTTCACGGTGGAGACTACAATTTTGGTTCCGGCGACAGTGACGTTTATGGACCCGATTATATTGTCGAAAATGGCGTCGTAATGGTGTCGGTCAATTACAGATTGGGTGCAGTAGGTAATACAGGTTTTTTCATAAAATCTCATCAAAACGTTTTCAAAAAATATTTAGTCTGAATTCAATATTATCGTCCACAGGATTCCTCAACACGAAAGATGCTGCTGCTCCAGGCAACGTGGGTCTTAAGGATCAAGTTGCTGCCATGAGGTGGGTCCAGGACAATATTGAATACTTTGGTGGAGATCCAGGACGCGTAACCATCTTTGGTGATGCTTCTGGTGCTGGATCTGTACAGTACCACATGATCTCACCACTCTCTGCTGGTACTTTATTTTAATTCTTCATATTATTCACACTCTTTTTTTTCAAATTTTACTATAATATTCATATTTTTTTAAGGTCTCTTCGCCCATGCCATTGCTCAGAGCGGTACCGTCCTAACTACCTGGTCCATTTCCTATACCTCAACCGCAGATGCCTTCGCTTTAGGAAGAGTATTAGGAATCAATACCACCGATTCCACTGAACTCGTTAATGGATTACTGAATATTGATTCTAAGGACATTGCTAGGGCAGCTTTTGGGATGACTACAACTAAGGTGACGTTATTACTGTTATTGTTGTTGTTGTCTTTGTTTTTTGTTCTTATTGTTATTATTATTACACTTTCGAATTTAAAATAATAAATAATCACAGGAGACAATGGCAGGAGCTCTATTCGTGTTCAGACCTTCAGTCGAGGTTGACGTTGGTCAGGATATATATCTTCCTGCTGATCCTTGGCAACTTTTAAAAACCGGCCAGATCAACGACGTTCCTTATGTAATGGGTTTCAATAAAGACGAAGCGATTATAATCGCTACTAGTAAGTTATTTTAAATACAATTTAATTGCCATTTTCACATTATTTCTTCAACTGACAATTTTTGTTAGGTATCAGTAACGCAGAATTCTTCAATAGTAACTTCGACGGTTTCCTGCCTGTGGAACTGAATCTCACAGCCAGTAGAGACAGTGAAGAGATCAGCGAAGACGTTACAAAACTGAGAAACTTCTATTTTGGTGGAAATAATATCACCACCAACGACGTGCTGCCATATATCGAGGTATTATAGAATTAATTGATTAGAAATTTGATGATTTTTATCGCATCAAGTCGATAAGATCTAATTGACGTTCGTTCGTTCTTCTTAATTGGTTAGCTTCAGAGCGACATATACTTCACGTACGGGACAGCCTTCTCTTTAAAAATAATGGCGACCTACATGAAAAGTCCTATCTACAATTATCTTTTTACGTATGACGGACAACTTGGATTCTTCAAAAAATTCTTCCGCATTAATATGACGTCGGGTAATATAAAATATTTTTGATTTTATTTTCTTTTTTTTTTCCAAATTATTCTACAGGCTTAATTATTTCTATGCTTTACATCAATAATGCAGGCGTAGCCCATGCAGATGAAACTGGCTATATGTTCTATCCGGCTGCTCTTGGTATTACGCCAGAAATTGGATCGACAGAAGAAAAAATGGTTTATGCAATGACTAGAATGTGGACAGATTTTGCAAAATATGGGTAAGATAGAAATTTAATTTTTTTAAATATTATAATCATTAATCCCCTAACGTAAAAATCGTATTCAGACCTATACTACAGATATTACGGTGGGGATACTTGGCTCGACGTATTGTTGGCAACCCCTTTAGCATCTATAGGAAAATCCTTGTTAACGTTTAAGAGTTGAGTAATTTATTTTTATTAATTAACTTGGTTTTTTCTGATTTCTTATAGCAATCCAACTCCATGCCTTTCTGAGAACGTTACCACAATTTGGGACGAAATGACGATAGATGGAAATTATTTGGACATCAATCCAGATTCATTCATGGACCAGAATGTCTTTAATGATAGAGTCAAATTGTGGGCGTCTATATTCAAAAATGTTCTTGGCGATTATTATTCTTATTTCGAGTGAAAACTTGTGTAAAATGTCAAACAGTGCTGACGGTACTTTTGTGTAAAATAATAATAATAATTTATAACGTAAATAAGTGTATTACTATAATTACCACATTTCTTAAAATCACTTTCTTAGAATCAGTCGTATATTACATTTTATAATTTAGTTAGCTCTGTCCCACAGATTGGTGTATTACAGTCGACTCTCTCCAAGAGCACAGAGTTGAGACCAGAATCATGTGCGCTACTATGGAGCGTGGTCTATTACAGAATGTCCCTCACCATAGCGTACACGTTATTCAGGCACCAGAGATGAGTATAGAGATGGACAACGCTACGCTTTCAGGCGATACCAAAATCATGGCGCTAAATCGTAGCGGTGAGTCTGGAAGTAGGATTTTTCTGATCATCGCCTCCGTCGATAATACGAATCCCGTCGTAGCCGAGCTAAACGTGAACACGGACGCGTAGCTTGGCGGAAGGAGGTTCTCCGCTACTCACCGTTGGTTTCCAAAGCAACCCGTAGAACGAGACCGGGAACTATATAACTTCTCAAGAACTATTGAAAAAGCCTATTGTTAATAAATTTTTAAGAAATTTTTAAGAAAGTGCAGTGCCAATTTGACACCCGTGTAGCACCTCCATTTTTACTAAATATTATTGGATCTTGATTTACTTTTAAAATTTATTCAAAATATAAAATTGAGGATAAATAAAAATCTTCCAGAGTATACGGAGTAGATACAAATTGAATTAAAATCGTAGAATATCGAAAATAAATTACGTTCAAATTGAAATAATAATAAATTCGGTGTTTCGAACATTAAAATATTTAATTAAATTAATAAGGTAAAATATTAACACTCAGAAATCGGTAATTCCTGCCAAGCATATTTAGAAATACTGGAAGTTCCCCAAAATTGTGTGCGCGCAAATTCGTCGCGCAGGACTCGGGGAGTGGGTGCAATCGGTTGGTAAGGGGAGTGCTCAAGGCAGTGCCCGGACTCGGATCGCTCACTCTTCCTCGAATCGGTCTCCTATACTTGTCTATTGGAAACACTCCTCATAACCATTTCCAACCTTCTTCTGTTTCTATATTTATTTCTTCTTTACTTCCTTATTTCTCTATATTTAATTATTTATTTTCTGATATATTTCTTTCCTTATTTCTTCTATACTTTTATACCTCTTCTCTTAGTTTAAAAGAATTTAATGACCAAGTATCAAGACAAAATTATTTAGTAGGTTTTTTCTTTTTTAATTCGTGGAAAATATAAGTAGAGACAAATTCGGCAGGAGGATTAAACATAAAATTTGTGAGGTCTTTGAGATCGCACCCGTGTGTAGTTAAGGGTTAAGGTACCCGTCTCTCCGTCCTTTCCATTTTTTTCTTTCTCTTTTACAATATTTTCCCCTTTAACCTAATTTATCGCGTCCGATAATAAATTTTATTAGCCTTCCTGTTTCGTTTATAATTTCTATTAAATTTTTTCCTCTTTTGCCATATATTCTCCTGCTCTGCTTCGCCTTCGAATGTTCCAGTGTTCCCTGTTCCACTTCTTAAGTGTTCCCATATCTAATCCTATTACTATTACTATTTCATTTGCAAAAATTATTGGATAATCATTCAATATAATCTATATTAAAATATTCTTTCAATTCTTGTACGACGATACAAGTTCTATAAAGATCTTTGGTGACTTTATGCTAGCTGATTACGTAGAAACACTTGATTACACGTTGTTTTTATCAGCCATGTAAGCAAATATAAATGAAATCATTCGTGATTGCTTTATTAAATACGAATTCACACCTCCGCCTGTTGGAATCACATACTCAAAATAACATATTTGGAATATGATCGAACAAACGTTAAGTCGAACGAGGCAATACGAAATTATTAGCAAGTACAAAATTGAAAGTTTTCGTTACAGATTTAACGGAATTCTCGTTCGTACCTGACAAGGAATGCTTTTGTTTAAAGAGGAGACACGTACGACCAGTCTGATAAAGCACTGAAGGCGTTGTAAGACATCTGGAAAATCTAGTTGGTATGAAATATTGTTTGTTTAGACCTCGCAGAATATTTTTTGTCCATTTACAATACTGCTCACACTTGTTCATATAGTGGAAAGACGATTACAGTATAAATTGACGAAAAAGAATATCGGCGCGTTCACTGTCACATTGCCACCATGAAGAACAGAGGTATCGAATTAGTGGTGGCCATTTTTGGTTTGGCTCTCCTGGCACAAAATGCCAACGGGGCGGATTCGACTGTAAGATTCCACATTCATCAATTATTCCTACAATTTTCAAATAATGACCTCTGACTAATCTCTTCGTAAATTCCTAAGCAGACTGCGATACGTCTCTTCAAATTCGCAGGAATTTAACAAACGAAATAATTTTCATTGCAGACTGTCGAGGTCACCATACCAAAAGGTACCTTGCAAGGGTTGGAAACACAGACTGTATTAAATGGCGTGACTATGTACAGCTTCAAGGGTGTAAGATATGCAGCTCCAGCAACTGGTACACGAAAATTCTCTGTAAGAAACGATAAATTATAATTCCAGATGATTCATTAATTGCATTTATTATTCATTATATTTATTAATGGGCACAGGTTGCCGAAGAGGTCGAGGCCTGGGATGGTGTTTACGATGCAACTCAACACGGATCAAGATGCACTCAGTTATGTATTCCAGCTTTTCGACCTGTGATTGGATCAGATGACTGTCTATTTGTCAACGTCTACACTCCAAGCCTTGATGATTGCGCTTCTTTACCAGTAATGATTTGGTTCCACGGTGGAGATTTCAATTTTGGGTCCGGCAACAGTGACATCTATGGACCTGATTATCTTGTCGAAAATGGCGTTGTACTTGTCACAGTAAATTATCGACTAGGTCCAATAGGTAAACAAAGTTTCTTGATAAAATATCATCAAGACGTTTCCAAAGAATATTTTTCCTTTGATTAATTAATATCATCCACAGGATTCCTCAGCACAAGAGATGCTGCCGCTCCAGGCAACGTGGGTCTTAAGGATCAAGTTGCTGCCATGCAGTGGGTCCAGGAAAATATTGTACACTTTGGTGGAGATCCATCTCTCGTAACCATCTTTGGCGATGCTGCTGGTGGTGGATCTGTACAGTATCATATGCTGTCACCACTTTCTAGTGGTATATTATTCAATTCTCCCCATCTTATACACTCACCTGTTTTATTCCAATATTTTTATATATCTGCTCTTTGTTCCAGGTCTTTTCAAATATGCCATTGCTCAAAGTGGTACCTGTTTGGCTACTTGGGCAATTTCATATAATTCCACCGCATCTTCCTTCGCCCTGGGAAAAGCACTGGGTATCAATGCCACTGATTCCACTGAACTTGTCAATGGATTATTGAATGTCAATAGTAGCACCATTGTTCAAACAGCCTTCAATCTGGGTACTGCTAGGGTAAAGTATTATCTTTAATTATAAGTATAGTGAGATAAAAATTATTATAAAAAATACTTCTTTGCACAGGATGCCATGTCTGGTGCCTCCTTTATGTTCAGACCCACAGTAGAAGTTGACGTCGGTCAGGATATTTTCCTTCCGGCGGATCCCTGGCTGCTTCTGAAAAACGGTGAAATTAATGATGTTCCTTACATGATGGGCTTCAATCTCAACGAATCAGTTATATCTGCCAATGGTGAATGATTCTTAGTTTAATATTTTTTTTTATGAATTATTTTTTGTTTTTGTCGTTTGTTTGACATTTTCTCTTTCAGGTATCAGAAATGCGGCATTCTTCAACAATAATTTTGATGCTTTTCTACCAATCGACCTCAATCTCACAAATAAAGCAGAAATTAGTAAAATTAGTAAAAAAGTACAAAATTTTTATTTCCATGGTAATATCAGTACTAAAGATGTACTTCCTTATATTCAGGTACATAATTTTGGGATTTCTCTTTTTCCTCTCTTATATGTATATTAGACTATGTCTTGATTTCATCAAATTGAATAATCACCACTTTTGGATCCTTTTTTTTGGACAGCTGAAGAGTGATATCTACTTCACATATGGGACGGAAATGTCTTTAAGGATAATGGCATCCTACATGGTGAATCCGATTTATCATTACCTATTTTCATACGACGGAGGACTGGGATTTTTCAAAAAGTTTTTAAACGTATCGTTGACCTCTGGTAATATATTATAGGTTTAATTTCTAATAATATTTCAATCGTACTGCATACGTGTAAAATAATGAATTCAATATTTATCTTTAAAAATAAAGGTGTAGCACATGGGGATGAAACTGGCTATCTCTTCTATCCAGCTGCTCTTGGCGTCACTCCGGCTGCTGGATCGACAGATGAAAAAATGGTTTACGCAATGACAAGAATGTGGACCGATTTCGCAAAATACGGGTAAATATAATATGGACGAAGTTTGTCAATATTAATTTTAACAAAAAATTAATTAACGTTTAACTCCCCTTTTATCTTCTTCAGTAACCCAACTCCTGAGCTTTCCACGAATGTCACCACAGCTTGGGAAGATATGACAACGAAAGGAAATTTCTTAAAGATCAATTCAACTTCATCCATGTCGTCGAAAGTTTTCAACTCAAGAGTCAAATTATGGGTTTCCATATACAAACATATTCTTGGAAATTTTGCATATCTTTTTGACTAATCATTGTCTCGACAAAAAAACGTTGAGTGTAATTTAAGGACACAATGTATACATGCGTAAATCTGTTGCAAAAATAAAATACAAAATGTGCATGTAATGTAAATTATATTTGCATCCTCATAATTTGCTATGAAATCAGTCGGTTTATCACAGCCGATGTCCAAATTTTTCAGCTTCTAGTGCTACTAACTATTTTATGTATATTCCGAAATTTACTGCTATTACTGCGACCGGCGTTGTATCCTTATCAAGAGACTCGGTCGAGTCTCGCGCCAAGTACAGGCAACCGGCTGTACAGGGCGCAGCGCGCCGAGACTCTTTACTCGAGTCAACTCCTTATACCTGTGTTTGGAACAAAATATCTTATGAACCGTTATATATGAGGAAAAGTTATTGATACATTCACTATAGGAATTGAAGGTTCTGAAGCGATTGCCACCAAGTTCAATACGATTAGTGTACGAGATCAGGGCGTATTGAGATGG